TAGCAACTCGTGTAGATCATCTACTAGAGCAGGTCCCCCGAATTTGAAGAGGGCTGGGGGAATTCTATCTGCCTCTGCGGCCTTATGCAATTTCAACAGCCTGATCTCACGTTCGACTTCTGCGCATGAGGGCGGATCCGAGGAGACGACCCAAGGAGAAGGGCGCTCAATGCCCGAAGAAGAAAGCGATAACTCAGATTGGTTAACTTGCCTTGCAAAGTGTTCAGCCCAACGCTCCAAACGTTTTGACAAGCTGTGGATCAGCTGCCCACTCTCGTCGCGTATGGTCTCGCTAACACCAGGTCTCCTGCTGCCTGTTTCCCCTATCAGATGGAATAACTTACGATGATTACCAACGGCAGCGGCTGTTTCCATCTCAGAGGCACGATGAGACCACCAGGTTTCGTGGTCCTTCCTAAGGTTAGCACGTAGTTTTTCCCTGAGATTTTTGCGAGCCTCATTGTATTCGCTTCCAGCCGGAATACGTCGGCGAGCATCCATAAGTTCCAGAGACTGTGTACAGACCCAATCTCCGGTTTGGCAATTTGCTTTGCCACATGAAGACATGCCAGCTAGCAGTAACGTTTGACGAATATGCGACCAGTGATCTTCAACGGTGTTTAGTGGGCGATTACTCAGCCCAGATGTCAGCGCACTTTGGTACACATTTAGAACATCTGGCTTCGCCAGCTGGCTGGTGTCAATCCGTTCACATCGACGTTGCGGACGTCCACCGAAACGCACCGGAAGTTTAGGCACAGACAAGTGCGTGGTCAGAGTCCACGCTCGTACTCCAAATCGAGCGACAGTTTTGGACACAGCCTCTCCAGCGGTAACTGATCACGATATGATCGATTTGCGTCCATGGCTGGCCGGAGGCTGGTATCCGCCAAGTCACGCTTCTGCGGGTGCTGTGTCGAAAGTTAGTGCTCGCGAGAAAGAGACGACCACCTTTACACAGCTGTAGCAATCGCTCGCCATTATCATTACGGGAGCCTACACCATGTTGGTCGCCCAGATGAAGCTCATCAGAGGACAATTTTCCGACTTGGGCGTTTAGATCGCCAGCCAACACCACAGTATCCGTGCTTCTTCTGTAACGAAAGAGCTCGTGAAGTTGCTGATAGAAATCATCTTTTACCGAATCAGTGCTACAGTTTGTAGGGGCGCAAGCCGCAATGACAAACAGGCACCGTTTGTCCCCGCGCGACTTCGTAGCACGGAACGAACCAGCTAATCTAACGGCGCACATTCTACTGTTTACTGGGATCCAACCAATCAGGGCAGCTTCAGCCCGGGGACTCAAAACAATGCCGACGCCAGCTTGACAGGCATTTGAAGCTGCATCATCACCAGACAGGCGCAATGAGAATGTGCCGCCAGTGTCGCATGTGGGGGATCTCAGGGTAAGCACGGAGCTCGAAATTTGCAAGCGGGTTTCTGATAAACAGCAACTATCGATCGATAGGGTCTCTAGTGTGCGGGCAAGTGCTGCCTGTTGGTCAATCTGCAGCAAAGTGCGCACGTTGAGGCATGCCAGTCTTAGCGAAACGCGAGGACTCCAAAGGGAAACGGATGAACTGACGTTGTCCGCTTGGTTGAACATGCACTTGTCGACTGGATTGGAGAGAGGCCCTGCGATTGTGTGTGATTAGAAATTAGAAGACAAGCGACTATTGAAGTAAGCTGGGAGAGGGCCAAGAATTGGGGGATTGAAAATGGGGGGATATAAGTAAAGTTGGAGCGGGACGATAAGGATGAAGAAGCGCAAGAAGGGGTATAAGAAGACGGGAAGGCCTGAGCAGTAGCATCCATACCCCTATCCACCCTGCTCGATGCAGCAGATAAGGCGCCGTTTATTATCCTCTGCGACGGCCAGAGCATCAAGAAATTGTTAGGAGAAAGGTTCATTGTATTGCTTGGGCAGAATACTGTCAGGTTGCCCAGGCCTAGACAGGAGAACGATTAGGGTTCTCAACCAAAGCCTTTGGTTCAAAAACCTTATCGCAAGGCAGCGGGGTTTTGGCAGTGAACTACGGGGAGCATGTTTTATGGAATAATGAATCTCCTTCATTTCAACCCCCAACCTGGAGGACCAGGAGGCTGAGTTTGTCTGGCCTCTAACCATTGACCAATCTGGTATGAGTGGCTCTGAAAGTGCAAAAAAGCACCACCCAGCATAGCTCAATGGATCCCTGAGGCACGCAGACCATCGCACCACGGTAAGGTCCAGCCTCATTGCGATGGCTTCAGTCACTACGCTGTCCTATATACCTTTATGAACAGAGCAAACATTCGTTCTACCTAGATACACGCCAAATTTCAAGCGGCTGTGACAATCTACCCAGCCTAGTATCACGAAACTCTTTGCTGGCGTGCAAATGAGATCAGTACCACTTACTAATCACGAAACCCATCATCCAAACTATGGTGAACTCGATGCTAAATAACGGAATTTACATACTAACGTTTCGTAGGTTTCCAAAGGTGCCCCATCAATAAAGCACTCAGATAACCCGGACGTTGCTCCGGTTCAACAACTTCCTGGTTTTCAGCAGGTGCACAATGCTATAATTTTACGGATACCTTGAAACGTATAACTCAGCAAGCAGTTAACTAGGAGAAACTTATGCAGCGACCGAGGTAACTTTCATTTGTGCGCTCAGTAGCATGAAATTGATAAAGGGCTGTCGGCAAGGGGCCCAAGAAGCGAGTTGGCTAGCCAGTCACCAGTCTAGTGTAACTGTTTCTTGTCCGGGATTACAGGTCGTATGTGCGCTGACTGAGCAAGTAAATCACCATTGCAAATCAGATGGGGCAAAAGAGGAAAGCTCATCATGGTTACCACAATGAATAACAAGCGGATGATAGGCAGTACGTGGCAGGTTGCGCTGTTTCTTATAGTTGGGTGTGATTTCAATGAAGAAACGGAGTTCACTAGGTTAAATATAAGCAATTTTAGAGTGCGGTACTAATGAACGCAAACTGTACCTATCTTGTAATGCTCTCCGATAAGCAAAAACAAAGACTGGGTGCGATCAGAATCTATTTTGATCGGAAGACATATTAGTTATTTGGAAACCTACGCTCCGTTGAGTGACTCCGATTTGGCCTTGCTTGATTGACCGCCTCTGGCATATTCATGGATGGAGCCAACGGGTCGTGAGGGCTTACAAGGTAACTATTATTCACGCGTGTACGCGTGGCTGCTCGACTGGCAGCGGACAATCGATTGAGCGACATGTTGCCTGTTCGTTCCGAATGCGTAGGCGAATACCAACAGCTGACATTATACTGCTCACACCACGGTACCAACCGGGTGACAAAAGTAAATTGCTTTCAGTTTATTCGATCCATTTACTATTAACCATTCAAATGTTCATCTGCGTCATAAACTAATTCATACGCGACTTTCCAACGGCTCATTGCGCTCAGCCAAGTAAAGCTTACCTCCAGACAAGTTTACAGTGTCGCGAATACCGTTGCTTTTGCTCGATATAGATCAGTGTACTCCTTCGGCAGCCTGCAGCACAATAGGCGACGGAAAATTTGCCAATTTTTATGCGAATTCTATGCCGTTATTGACTACCAGCACGCGCATATCTTTTGCTTAAACCGCCCAGTTTCACTGGCCGATTCCACGTTTATTTGATAAGGAACCAAAAATGGAAGCTTTATCTTTCGTTTCAAAACACTAAGGATGTCTGAGGAGCAATTAGTAGTTGATGAAGACATATTTGACCAATAAATGTGCTATCAGAGAGTACCAAAAAGAAGTTAACTAATCCGTGTACAGCTAAGATCCAAGGCGTATGGTATGACTTTTCGCCGCGCCAAATTAGCGTAAGTGGTTAGCAGGCCGCCACTAAATTAAACAATACTACATCACCAGCTGTACGCCGTAACGGTGCTTCGCTGCCACGTGACCACCACCAGTCGCGCGCGGGATGACTATACCGCGATGATGCCCACCCTTACACGGATTCGAACCGGTGACGTTGTGGTTGCAAAACAGGCACGCAGATCACTCGGTCATCGGTGTCCATTACCAGATGATCCAACCGGTGTGCAAAAGCTGCTTCGTAGTGCGAAACTAAACGTGCGCCAGGGTGCATGGTAAACTTGCAAAGCTTTTGTAAATGGCCGAAAATCCCAAATGAGCATATTGATTGGTGGGATGCGCAATTCCATGGTGCTACAAAGTAGTATTTATCCTCGACAACATACGCACCAATGAATGGTTGTGTAAAGTCGTGGTGCTACAGAACTTTCAACACAAGCGCTTCCAGTCACCAGTTACCATCAGTAGATGCTTCACTCATTAGGGTTTTTACTTGAGGCAGCAAGCTGATGGAAACATGTTTGCGGTTACCAAGCTCAATGGTTTTCAAGAAGTAACTCATACAAGAATATGAACCAACTAAAGTGAATACACAATTGTGTACCAATGCTCGATTCTAAAGGAGCAAGTATTAACCGTTTTAGTAAACTTTTTAATGGGAGTCAAGTGGATGTTGTCATAAAGACTCACCCGATGTATAAATAAATGCTTGCCCGTTCGAACGGTTGGGTCTAAACGGTTGGTCTCAAGGAAGCTTTGAATGAAAGGAGATTCGAGTACGCAGATTAGATTCTGATCCGTTTTGTGCACGCGCCTAGTAGCGCGTCTCAACCCCGACTACAAATCATACTGCTGTTTGAAACCTTTGATAATACAATTTCTTCGATTAAATGACTTATCTTTAAATGCCCTTTGCAATCACTTGCAATTTTGCGCATACTTATTCCATGTGTACTGAACGCGCAATTTACATTTGTCAAGTCACTATTATGGAATCAAGGGGCAGATAATTCTAACTGCTTTTTTGTTACTCTTTGAGGTAAAACGGATTGTCGTGAGCAAATCATTCGCATTTATATCAACGTGCAAGCAGTTGAGTTTGTTATCTTCCCACATATTGAATGACCATTTGAGCTTCCATACATACGGTCTTATTTAGATTCAGAGGCAGGAGCAAGAACTGCTGCACGATCTCCATGAATTCGTCGGCCCGAAAGGTATGGAGCTCATAGATCAGCAGATAGTTCATGAGCAGAACTTGGAGGTGGCTCAGACCATTTGCAAAGAGACCGAAGCGTACATGGATGGTCAAGAAATCGACATGCTACTAGCTAAGCCTGAACTTTACAAAAAGCTACACCAGCTGAATGACATCAACCTGAGTTGCAATGATTTTGAACTGGCAACGCTTGAGATGTTCTTTCGCCCTGGGACTGTGCAACTTGGCTATTTGACCAACGACCTTTCAGGGCCACCAACAGAACAGTACGATTATTTGCATCTTCCACTGTCGTCCTCTCAATCCTCTATTGAATTGGCAAACAGGTCAGTCAGTCAACTGGATGGTGTGGTGTGTCTGATTCACGGTTGTTTTAACCCCTTGTTTGCTAGTAACAAAATGATATCGCATTTACTTAACACGACCGATTCCAGTTGCTAGTCAAGTTAGGAAATTTTAATCTGCTCCCAAAGATTTGACTCTTGAATGGACGGTGGGCAGTAAAAGTTTAGCTTACTACATGTTCACCGACACAGCTAAGTACGCTGAATAATTGTCTAGTTACCATTTGGAATATTATAGGAACGTCAACGACTTGGCAAAACTTGCGGCACATTATACCAAGACCATGGGACAAAGCCGTGTCCGAACTCATTCGGATCAGTGGACCCCGTTACTTCAAGGTTATTATCCGCAGCAACACACTTTCGTATGCGCCTTGCATTTTGTTAATCTAAATCTGTTTATAACGCCACCTGTTGTTTGTGATCGGCATCTCTGGTAACAATTGCCTACTTAACTATTCCCCTCGTAACGAGTGATGATTTTACTTTCCAAGCGGCAGTGTAGTTTGCACGCCTCTGTTAAAAAGGTATAAAGTCCATGGGCTGAGGAGAAGAGCAGCTTGACTGATGTGTGATTCAAATAGCTTGTTGAAGTGAAGTTGTTTCTTCCAAGAACCGTTGTGCTTGTTCTGGTATAGCCCAAAATGGGTTCAATTTGTGCTCGAAAAGTGCTCCAGATTAATCCTCATGGACCACTTTTCGGCCATTCATTGGCCACTCAAAACGAAAGCTGGGATTATTCCTTATATACATACTTTTCCAACTTGCTTTATATTGCAAGCCCCTCAGCTTTCCCGAAAAATACCGCGAATAACCCAAGCAATACGCGTTCGTGAATTCTCCGTAAAAGCACGACATTCGCACTTTGTAGGGGAAGTCTTGAGAGAGACGGGACTACTTCAGATGTTTCATAATAAGTTTGAAGGAAAATTCGCTATAAAAGAATCTTGAAAACGACAATTTGTACCAGGAAATGCCTCGGACTCCTTTCTGCATGTCCGACGTGTGACCAAAACTTGATCTAGTACCGTTAATTTCAGATAACGTTTACTAGCCTATCAGACACAAATCGGGCTGTGCCAACAGGGTCTCTGCCATAGTTTATGTGCGATACTCGCCTGAGAAGAGCATATGCAATTTTCATTACTTAGGCATGTACGAGTAAAAGGGATACTCAGTTTCAGCACCATAGACACTAGCTTGAGATCGCTAAGAATCTAAGAATTTCACACAATGTAGGTTTTCGATGGTATAGGTTCTGAGCTCTTTCCAGCGATAATGAATCTACTAGTCTGACAATGAACCAATTAATAGATAGCATTCCGGTAACTTCCCTTACGTTAGGCTGTCAGCAGATGAGAGTTTATCAGGCGTGATTTACATTGTTGTCCGTAGATACTGTAACTATGAGTTTTACGTCGTCGTTGAAGCAAACACAGGACTGCTGAGACAGAAACGAGTGTTTATTGGGAGTAATATAAACACTCAATACAACTGCTGGATAGTTGGATTGATGTTTAACAAATCTGCGCTCTAGGGGGTATGAATTGCTTTATTGAGCATCCTTCGCAACGAGCCGCACTTTTTACCTTCCTGGCAGCTAGTCGTTTGAAAACACTTGGCAAGACAGTGGCTAAGATCAACAGGTTTCCATGGCCATTCTAAACTTAAGGTACTAACAGAGTTAACTTAGTTTACATTCCACTGCTGAACGCTCTTGTATTAACCCCATAAAGCCAGTTCGTGGTGAGTAGGCGGTGTTCAGCCTGGAAGATTATTCGCTTAAATGAAAACTAGAATGTCGTAATAGTCATTTGTGATGGATGAGCGAAGTGTGCCATGTCATTGTGAGGACAGGCAGCAAGCGGACAGGACGACATACAAGATAGCGCAAACAGCAACTCACGTGTTCTGATCTGGACACCTTGAACGTAAACTCTCCACTTCGGTTGTACAGCTGGGTTTGAATCAAACGGCTATTATCCCGTGACCTTATCGTGATCGATCAAGACTACAAATACCAAGAAGCAGACTAGCGTTTCTACAATGATCACACCAAATAACCAGATCCTGACTACAGATTTATACCTCATATGTGCACAAACTTTATTGCAGTAATTGGTCCTGAGTCGGTCACAAGTTGTCATCAATTCGTCTGTTCACAAAAATAGCCTCATAAGCCATGCAACGGTAATGAATGGAGCACCACAACGCGCAATATAAAAACCTTCTTAACGACAGAAGTTTGCTTAATGGAGTTGTTATGTAACTAATTAAAGGGTACAGAAACAGTCCACTGGATTAGCACTGATCATCAAAGCGCCTCTACCGCTTTCCAAAACGCTCGTGCCGTCTTGCACAAATGTGCGTATTCTGCTGACAGTCGGTGATGCAGATCTACGTATGTTAAGTGTTGTGCCTAGGGTGAACAGCTGTTCCCCATTACCCACCAATTGTCGATTATGTGCAGAAATGCTGTGTACCTCAGCGTTCCGTATAGACTAATTTTACTCGCCAAAAGCGCTGCCTTGTAACCAATTCAAGGCAAACAGACCTTCAGATTAAAGCGGCCAAATCTTAGTACCACAAGACCGCTCCACCGGAATGCCTCCTCGTCTATAAGCTAAGTAAATCTTCGAGAAACTCTCTTTCAGCGCCACAAGACATGTTCACAAAGCCTGTTCAAGCATATGTAATGCCCAAATTGACTTCAGAAGCCACTTGTCCATCGCTACTGATGCAACCATCTGACGGGTGAATCGATCAATTACTTCGATCCCACTGTCTAGAGTGGATGGGCTAAATACACTAGGACCATGGTTTTCTATAGGCATAAAAGTCAAAGCTTAACAGATCCCGCAAGATGCTTGTGGTGAAGAAACAAAATTTAGCAAAAAATTATCAACGAAGGTTAGTTCATACCGGTTGACTCACCACGGCATATGTACAATGAAATGTCAATCCACTGTAAGTCACACAACTAGTGACGACAAACGGGACCGTGGTGTTAGTCCTGCCACCGACTGGTGAACCCGTGCAGGAAGTGAAAAAGTTAGGACGTATTCTGGTGGCTGACCGTCAGTGAAATCTCTAACAGACACTCGTGTTTATCTATGAGCAATGAGTCATGTGACATGATACAGTGAAACGAGGGCACGGGCAACTCGGGATTTCGACTCTACCAGCGTGGGTGCACAGGGGGCAGATTAAGGTAGGGCGTCCTACACATGCCAAACGCACAGAAAAGAAATTCCGACGGCGTTCCAAACAACTGTACCGCTCTGCCAGCTTGAGATACTGGCCTTTCAGATTAATGTTAGAACGGAGCTCTAGCAAATGGCGATACGTGTGGTTGGGACCTCACAAAATCTGTTAAGTCCAAATTAGGTCCCGACGCAATCGCCGGGATCGTCCGCTTAAGATACCGAGCACTCGAAGCCTTCTTTCATACGGTAAATGGTACAAACCGCTAAACTTCTTGATCGCCCGGCGTTGTGACATCTCCAATGTGGTGAGCTCTCTCGTCAACCATGGCTGCCAGACATGTATTGTGCATTCCGCATATGGATGTATGCATAAGCCTAGAAGCTGTTAAAAATCGATGGATCAAAACGTCCGAACGCCCACCGCAAGAGGCCCATTCTTGACGCCATTTTAGCCTGATTCGAAATTCCAAGGTCAGTATGGACCAAAACGCCCAGATACTTTTCCCCAGAAGAGGCTTGTGGCTCGTGGTTGCCGAGTTTGTAAGAACACATCAGCTGGTGAAGTAGATGCATCATACTGTATTTGTCCACATTAAACTGAGGCAGATTCTGGATTAACCGCGCGCAAGCTATATTCAGATCAACTCGAACAGTGTAACATCACCTTGTGTATTGGTTGCCCCCCACACGTTGATGTTATCGGCATAGAGCAGATAGTCCGAGCTTATGACGCGCCTGATATCATTGATACACATAAACAATAACCGTGACCCCAGTGCCGATCCCTGTGGTACGCCGCAATCAATTTGGATTGGATCTGATATGGATTCACGCACTCGTATCTCTAAGCACTGGTGTAGGAGAAAGCTTCTGAACCACCCTAGGAGAGGGTCACTAATTCCAAAGGTTTAGAGTTAGGAGAGCAGAACGAGATGGTTTAGTCGGTTGAATGCCCTTGAGAGGTCGAGAAAACTACATCAACGCCTGTGCCAGTGTCAGATGCTTCTGTCTAACTAACTAACTAAATAAATAAATAAACAGTATATTCCCGAGTATATACGAGGCATATCAGTGAAGAGCTAGAAGTACGTTTGTAATGCACGACCGGTTTCGCCGGAAGCCACGCTATTCGGGTGCAAGGTAGTTAAATTGTTACAAGTAAGGCGTTAGAGCATCAACAATAATGGCATTCATGACTCCTGAACGTACTGGTAGCAGAATTACAGGGAAGTAGTTGGCTGATCGGAGCGACTACGTTGTGAATTGGAGTAATCATCCCGTGTTTCCACTAGTTTTTCACATACACTTCGTTAAAAGAGTGTTAGAAAATTCGGGCCAACAGCTTAGATAATCTCTCTCCTACGACCGCTAGCGATTTCGGCTGGATGTTCTCAACTTCAGAAGAGCTTTGCATAAGGATGCGCAACAGCTTGTTAGTATAGCGTCTACCATGAAGGATATAGTAGTGAATTCTGGGGTGAGGTAACCCTTGTCATATAGTTGGGTTGCCACTGGCCGCACTGAAATGTTAGACCCTATTTCGGGCGTAGGGTATTCGCCGCCTCCTTTGGGGTCCTTGTGAGTCCATGCGCTGTTTGCAGAGTAGGAATTCCCTGCTGCACCTGACGTAGATCATTTGCAGGTTGATACGGCAGCCTCCGATCTGGGACCATATGCCTTGCCAACTTCTGCTGGTATACTGTTCTATCCTCGCGAATCAGTTGAGCAGACGGTTGAGTTGCGTAAACTTTACAGGTCTCGGTGCTCGGAGCGAGTTATGGATATGCCAGACTGAGTTTCGAACTACTATACACCTGTGTCCTGTTTCGTAGAAACAAGACCACCTTTCTCGGGTGGACTGCGTTAGTTTCTGATGCCTCGGTAATCAGAATGTTAAACTGGCTGACAAACTGTTACTATTCCCAAGTTGGTGCCGCGTCTGTCAGGAAGGTCCAGTTGATTATCAGGCATAACCGAGCTAATATGTCGAGCGTACAAACGTTCTCTTTGACTCTGCATCAGCATAACTGATGTACTCAACGAGTGCAAGTACAAGATTCGCTCCGGCCCAATAGGAAGTTAACAATTACCCTCTTGATCATTAGCATTTTATCCGTAAATATCAGATCTCGCATAGACGGCCTATCACTTGCTTTGAATCTGGTTGGAGTGTTTATGCGGTCATAAAGAGGGAAACTGGAGACAACCTCTGGTAGATTCGCCTTGAACTGTTCTCCAGTAGCAGCTTGGATTCCAGGGAGTGGATCTTAAAATCGCCAGTAATAAGAATGTGGCTGTGCTTCTTGTTTATCACCCACCTCAGAGCAGCTGCCAGATAGAAGTCCATCTCGGGCGTGAAGGAGAGTGGGCGGTAAACAACCTCCACCAAGCATCGTCGCCTTCTAAACGTGGACGGCACCAAAGAGAACCCTGTACCGTGTTTACTTGATCCTCTATAGGCCCACATTGGGGATCAATGAAGAAGTACAGTGCCACCCTTCTACCTTTGTTGGGTGGATCGTGCAGAACAACGTACATGTTTGGCAGTGCGCTCTCGATGCCACTTATGTCGGGGAGTAACCATGTCTCCGTTATAGTGATCAGGTGACAGGCCTTTGATCTTTTACGATGCCATCATTCGAAAAGTTTGCTAATTAAGTTTTAAGCAATAATGTACATGCAAGAGAGGTTGGATGTAAGAAGCTCCTGATATTGGGTATATGAAGAAGTTGGGTTTGTGCTGACCGATGAAAGACAAGCACCTAATTCTTTTTGGGTGACTTGCCAAATCCAGATATGAACGCAATCTGTTTTTAGTCTCACTTGCACTTGCGGTATGTAATCAATCGGTAATTTTCTCCATAGCTATTGGTCTAAGCGCAAAGTTTTCTGAATCCTTGTTGTTAGTATATTGAGACGCGGGTGGTGTCATTTCATCGAGGACAAAGAGTGGCTGTGATCCTCTGACTGCTTTCTTCAATCGTATTTCCGTAGGAGTTGTGTTACGTAGCATTTACCAGCTGCGGATTACGTTAACCGCCCTCTACTGTGACTGAACGATCGTCGTCATCATCAACAGCAGTAAATCAGCTATTTGTACTGGTATTTCATTGTCTACAACCACGGTGACCTACGGAAGGAAGAACAAAAAGAAGGGGAGAAGGAAGACCGAGCGTAAAACCTTAGTGCTCTAAACAGACACTCAGGGTCAAGACGCCTACACCTTGTTAACAACATACAGTCACATTCATCTGAATAGTGTGCAAAGATAAGTTTCAATCTTTTCGGACCACTACATTTGTGGAGAGGTGACAGGGGTAACTGTGTAACCGCCGGAAGTATGACGTCGCCCGCACAGAGAGCTTCACGGATATACCGCCATTCCTCCAGGTCGTGGGCATGGACTTTTTCGTCGTTACCTGCTGGTAGCTGAAGCACGCCATGAATGACAATGATTCTACTGCAACTCTCCGGGCGGTAGTCTTTCGAATTATTTTTTCCCGCTGGCGTTCGCATCATAGAACATCCTGGAATATGTGTATTCCACTGTCTTCAGTCCGCAGGCGGAATGCCGATAAAAGCACCGTCTCGGCATCAACTGTAGCTCCCAATGTTACGCGTATTAGCCGGGACTCACCGTAGTGCATTTACGTTGGATGTCCAGTGCTGCGCATTAAAGTAGTCGGCTTGGCCCGAACTCCGGTTCGATCACGAAAGAAATCCTACTGTTGCAGCTTATCCTGCTGCTTACCCCTTAAGGAATTTGCCTTGGACTCAGGAACATTGGTGCATATGTGTGTCAGGGCATCGTAGTTCCGTCTGATCTACGGTGACGTGGGAAGCAAGGTTATCATGTACAATGGGGGCATCTCTGCAGGTTGCACCTGACTTTTGAAACGTGTTGTGGCTGTGGAGAGTAAAGTTACTTGAGTTGCACATTGATACTATCCAGCAGCAACGGCTACGTAAGTGTATCGGTCTTTAGATAAGTTGGGCTTTCCTCGGTCAATCGGAAGTTTATGTCATCGATGTTGCATCAGTATATTCATTGACTAAAAGGATGTGCAGCCTGGCATGCTTCGATCGTTTGCAACAAGGAGTTAGTTCGTGGTTCCCAAGGTTTCTGGTAATGCAGGACCGTGGGAACGCTCGGCCGTTTTTCTTGGTATCGAAGTAGCGAATGGGGGAGACGGACGAATTGCAAGCTGTGCTACTGTCTCCTTGAACGAAGCAAGTTGCACATTTAACACGATCAAACCTTTTACGAATGGAACAGTCGTATACATAGGACAGAAAAAGTGAGCCCCGCGTATCGTAATAGTTCCTAATTTCGGGGCAAGCGACGCTGACGTACGTCGGATGGTAACATTTAGTACAGAGGAAACATATCAATACTATTTTTACTGCCAATGCACATGATTGATTATCACAAAAGACTCCGTTTTGGGCTACATGTCTTGTGGTCATGGTGCTCGTATGGTCGTTGCTTGTTTTGCAGGTTACAAGCGCCTCGCCGTCAGTTGACGTTTGGCCACCCATTCTTAAGTCAGAGTCAGATGATTAGCTCCTCGTGCTCTATGTATGGCATCCGTATGTCACACGATCGCGGGCGAGAAGGCTAGGGTAGATGTTTAACGTGCCCGGCAGATTGATTGATCGCACCGACAGAAATAAGAGGCGGCGAAAGTTGACTTTCGGTTCTCTGGGGTTTCACTATGGAAACGTAATATGCTCCTTAGCTGTAACACACGGTGATGGAATGAGAAGATTGCAATCTTGCTGGAAAGCTGACAGATTCCTCTGTCGAAGAGGAAAAAACTAGGAGGGTGGGTGTAACTGCGTGAAGTTGTCCTCATTAACAAGAATGAAAAATTGCCCAACTTTGTTAACCTGGTAGAAAGCATCTCTGACTGGTGGTTCCATAACTGTACTTTGAAAGCCAAAGGTATAAGGCCTCTATCTGTCTATTGTTAACAGTGCCCCACTTATGTTTGATCAAACAGCTAACGCGTCGTTCTCAGGAACAACAGCAAGTGCCCCGGTAGGAATGATGAAAAATTCATTTATCATGGATGCAAATTAAACGCTTAAAGAGCGACAGCTACAATGAATATGCCTAAAAAAGGCCTAGCGGTAGACTTAGCGCAAGTTTTATATGCGCATATGGTTCGAATAAGTTGTCCCATGTCTAAACAACTTGATTTAAGTCATGTAATAAAGGTAAGGTAATGCATCGTCAAGGCGGGTTTGCAATTCAGCTAACGTGGGAGCGGAGATGACATAATGCGGAAGTAAGCGCCACGGCTGGGATACAGGAATGGAGCAGTTAGGGCGAGATGCCAACCGGCCGCACTGTGTGGGCAACTTCAAGTATGGGTCATTCAGTGATGTGTTGTTGCTCAGTTTCAATATGCTTTGGCATGGGTGGTTAGGATCTAGTACGCAAATGTGAGCTCACCTCGAAGAAGACAGTATTGTTCACGGAAACCTCCTAGAGCAGTTAGTCTAACCTGGTAATTGTAGTAGGTCAATCCTGTAACATCTTTAGTTGCTCCTGTTTTGGCTTCGCAAGAACAGGGTAGCTATGTTTTGCCAAACGTGTCACACTTGGATGGCGTAGTCTACGGGTAGCTTCAAATAGTCGTTAATCATTTGCGAACAGAAGGTAGGATCAAACCGGACAAACGCCATCTGAAGTATTCTCAAGTGTTACGTGGCTTTGTTCACTGCTTTCACAATCTGTCTTAAGCATCCGAGCTCGTCCTGTACGAGCACCACTAGCGCAATTTCAAATGAGGCGTGCTGCAAAACGTGTTGTCCCAGTCGATATTCATAAGTGCTCTGGTTGTGTAGGATCACTACTTTAAACTTGACAGGGCTAAAGTTCTGTTCTGAGCTGACTGCTCGTAGGTTCTGTTGAGATCACCTTGCAGTGATATGTGTTCGTCCACTCGTTTGATTACCTGCTAAATCTTGGGATAGTCTGGAAGGAGTAATAACCTTGACGTCGACACCCGCGATGTCGTTTATGACTACGAGGGAGAAATGTGTCCTAGTACCGAGCCTTGAGGGACATTACAGTGAACCTCCATCAGGTGGGAGAGGACACCTCGAAGTCGCACATTCAAGTCTTATTGAACTAGGAATGAATGTACCCAACCTGTTATGCTTACCGATCCAATAACACTAAAGTGTGTAAAGAATAATACAGTGATCTGCGCGATAAAATGCCTGCAAAAATCATGTTACGCGGTGTCGACTCCGTCCCATCGTCGACGCATCCCATCCAGTTTGCACGAGATAATAAATGGTTCGTGGTACATGAATGGCTTTGGCGGAATCCATGCTGTTTCTGCATGACAATATTGCATTTTTCTACATATCCAATGCGTGTTCCCGCAACGATAGATTCCATGACTTTGGCAAGCACAGAAAGGAAACTGATCGGGCAGTAGTTTGTGGGCACAGCACCATTATCTTCCCTGTAAATGGGGTTAACTATTCCACAGCTCTACACATTTCGAACTTGCATCTCGTCAAAACTGGAAAAACTGAGATAACGGTTCGGCTAGGCTCGTGACAGCTATCAACAAAGACCTAGGATCTATGTTATTCCGATCGAGTGAACTGTAATTGCGTAGTGAAATCAGTCGCTTTAGCATACTGAGGCTGTGAAGATGTAGCTAAATCCTAGTGGTGAAGTGATCTGTGTGAGAATCTTGTGAGATAGCGTAGCACCTCACCAGTGTCGCCTGGCCTTACAGCTGAATCTAGTACGACGGAGTTCACCTTAAATTTGGATTAAGCAAAAACGTGGGACCCAGATGAATACATTTTGCCACCAAAGAGTCCAATCAAACCATCATAGACGCTGTCTTATCCTTGACACAGCGTATGCGAAAAGTTCATAGTTGATGAGGGAACCATCCTAGGTAGGTCGAGCAAAACGGAACGACCGATTTGGTTTAATGAGCTTTTTCAAACGAGGGACAAGGTCATACTTAGGCTGGAGCACCTGTGAAGCCGAGTCGGTAAATAGGTGGGTTAGGGGTAGAATTTTCGGCTCACAACCTAGGGGTTCTGGATTCGAGTAGTAGTCCTACCATCTCTAGCTGATGAGTGTGAACAACCTCGAGACCCATCGTGGCGTGCAGTCATCAAGGGCGGGGAACACCTAGTGCATTTTTACTCCAGCTACAATTCAAGTGCCCGAACGGACCAGTCATCATTTCAAAGTCAATTGTGCTCCTGATTGAGAATGCTTGTTGCAATCCCTTCTCATAACGCGTTCTTCAAAATGACCTCTTCAATCTGTTTCAACGGACTGTGCAAATGGGGCGGCGTTTACCACAATAACGTATCACCTTTAGTTTCTTTGTGATCCAATTAAGGTACACAGATTGATAGGTCGATTTTTGTCTTTTATGCGCTCTTATCCAAAACCGGTGTTATAAACCCTGTTCAGAGCGTTTCAGAACATGTTTATCTCATGCTCGTCGACCGATGGCCGCAAAGGATTGTACGCCGGTTTGAATTCACGTAGGGGCGGGCGTCCTCGCGGTATAGACAACATGCGACCGGTGGTGGTCGCGTGGCAGCGAAGCATTCATGCAATGAGCCGGTGTAATGTTTTCTCGTATGTACTGTTTCAGTGCAAGCGCTTTTTGGTTATTAAAAGCTTTACCAGTTAGATCAACAGACCAACCCAGGCATTGTAAACTAAGTAGAAATTGCGCCAAGTCGGCAGTTGTTTGAAACCTACTGAAGTAATTTTGAACTTTGAACTGACGTATGCAGCCAGGTCCGGTGTTACGTGTTTGCGTAAAAATGTGTAGATTCAATGAAATGTATTCCTATATCTTCCATTTCATCCAATCACTCATTTAAACTTAAGTCACCTATACTGGTTAAATTCCGTCTAAAGCACGCTGGTGACAACTTCTTATGTACATAACGAGGCAGGCTTGTATATCGGAAGTTTGTGGTTAATCTGATTTCACAGGCCAGTAAATTTAGATTCGGTACGGGACGGTATCCGAGCCTTAGGTCGGTGACAACCGTCTAACAACCGTAGAAAGTATTTTTCATTCATTTTCCAGGTGAGTTTAGCAAAAGGTACTGGCAGGTGGCCCACATGCCTCAAGCTAAATAGTCTCTATTTCCACTTCTTTACAGACCCTGTATTAATACAACTTCCACGCAGACGGACTATAGTTTATTGGAGAAACTTCTTCAAAAGGAAAAGTCCTCGGAAGAGAAGCAGTATCGCACGAAAGGCTGCAACACTGATTGCTTATCGGTTAGTGATCAGGAAACAAATACCCGGCCGCGAGGTATTCATACTTCCATTTCTTTCAGTGAAATAGTGTCGAACTCCAATTCTGAAGAGTGTCTCAACCAGCTGGATGCCAGTAAATTAGACTTCCAATCGATGGACAATCTGACTAGAGCCAGAATGCGCCGAAAATTAAGGGAACACTGTAATACTTTCGATGAATCGCCCGGTTACAATCACGGAATCAAGTTGAACGGGGAGCGAAGCAAACCCAGAAGAGGACAAAATGATTACGCTTTTTGTCGGTACAGTTTTATCGACAAGTACCACCATTAGAATGCTCATGAAACTACCAAATCTGATTCCAGAGGATAGCGCCAGCGGCCACGGTAAACTACTAATAATCAACAATGATTCTTAATATTATCCGTTTCACTTTTTCTCGCAACTACTGACCAGGTTTTCTTTCATCCTGCAATGCTGTAACTTCCGGAAACAAACACCACATGTTAGGTGTGGTTGGAGTGTCAATCGGTCACGGAAACATGCTTACTACCAGCAAGCATACTCGTGTACATATTGTGGTTCCTTCGAAGATGAACACTCGGTGAATGACACTGATTGCACCATATTTCATTGTATGCTCTTTCTTGTGAACCGCGTTCTCACATGCAAGCAAGCTGACAAAAAGCGAGTTGCATAAATGCTTAACTTACCTCAAGCATAAAACAACAAGTGAGAGGGGAACTATTTGTTGAAACTACGTTAAACGCTTAGTTGCAAAAGAAACCAGATCCTTCCGCCAAATGAAAAGATGACGAAGCACAAAGTGATCTTCATAGCCACAACCCTGTAAGTTTATGATCAAAAGCTGAAAATACTCGGTGTCTCTTCTACGCTTACGTCAGCGCAGTATTATATTTGAACAGCCATTGCTTTCTTCCTTCTCTCTTCAGCTGGATTAATCTATATTAAAACAAAATCCATCCAGTTCTGCGTGGAATTAGCGAAACAAGCTATAAATGCAGGCATATCTCCCTATTAATAGCTTCCTATAGTCAATGCGTGTGTGCATATGTGATAAATGAAGCAGCATTTGGGAGCTGCCATAGGCGTTTGCCGAAAACACGGAACCTTTGTTGTAGTGCATATAACGCGCTACTGGTCAATTGCTTTAGGTGATCAACGTATATCTTAACATGGTAGGCTGGTTCCATATATATATATATATATATATATATATATATATATATATATATATATATATATGCTAAGCGATATTCAGCCATCCAAAAGTCTGAAGCTTGAAGGAAGACACAATGCTTGAGAAAAGCAAAAGTAACACAAGACCGAGAACCAATGGTGTCATGAGAAGCTCCATGTTGTATCGCCGCAGTCCATTCACACCAAAAACAGCAAAGAGAAAACTCAAGACGAGCCAGGACAGAACCATTAACACGAGAACTCTGCGAAACTTATCTAAGGTACAATAGTAGTTGAAGCAAAGCTAATCCCGTAGTAGAAGTTATGGGCCGCGGAGATAACATCCATTACGAAAGACGTAAATCGGAAAACAAAAAACAAAAAACGATGCGTTCAAACAAAACAGCAACGAACGGTAGCGAAACAAAAGCAGGCAACTAAGAATGTAAAACATTGCGCCTTCTTTATCCACTTAATAATTGCAGAAAGAAGGAAAATGTTGCGCGCTGGTGACATTTCCATGGTTCTTCTCAGTCGCAACCACAAAACATACAAATCTAAACGAATGAGTATACGTGAAACTAACGTTCATGAACAGGATGCAACGAAAGAATCACCGTCACGGCAATCTAATAGATTAAGTGAGGTTCTTCGCAGTCAGTTTCCAAATCACATAGTCGTCCACATGCCCGGAAAAGCACTAGACTGCAGTTTCAGCCTGTTGGGCATCATCAGTAGTGCGCATCCATCGGATCCATCAGGATTCGAACCCCTGACCACCAACGGATTGAACCGCCAGTCAGCAGCTTATGCCACTGGGCCACGGGGGACAGCTTCGGACCGTCGTGATTTACAAGCTAACTGCGATATAGCGCGTCTTATCCTCCACTGCCATGCAAGTTACGAACGTTGCAGAGGACAGGGTTGGCCCCGAAAGACACGGCGTCCACTAACAGTAGCTATGGACGACTATGTGATTTGGAAACTGACTGCGAAGAACCTCACTTAATTACATCAAAAATCCCCTACTCATGAGTAAATCTAATAGATTGTCTCAATTGTTTCTGTGCACACAATGTTGGACGATTCTGCGCGATCAACATTGCTTCGCCTATTGCCAACCTTTTTGGATGCTCATCCCGTAGGACTATATTGAAAGTGGTCGATATGTTCACGTGATGCTCGGCCGTCACGCGATGCTTTGCGATAGATGAAGCAGACTTCCGCTTTATCGTCCGATCCACTCCGCCTTGTTGTGACATCGACTGCCTTAACCAACATGGGTGGTGTTCGACCACCCTTTGGGCCAGCTACCGATAATTCCTGCCAATGTATATGTCGACGCAACTGCAGTTGAACTGGTAGATTACATAAGAGGCCAGACTGTCTACCAACTAGACAGGATGGTGGTGCAGCACTAATCTCCGGGTGGTGTGCACCGGTCGCAATCGGGCGGTTGTGTAAGTGCGTTTCATAGCAGACCTGAGTTTGCATCCAATAGTGTTTGCGTTATAGTCACCTTTGGATGGCCGGAACAAAAAAGCAGGCTTTTGCTATGTAGTATGTACCAGTGTCTTTACCTTTGATAGTCTGCTGTGAATCTGGATACACTTTTCCGGATACCCATTGGACAGTAGGGTGTTACGAAAAAGTCTTTTGCTGCTTTTAATGTCTCCGCACTACAAATTCGCCTGGCCAGATAAAACAGCGTTTTCACAAGACCGCGGTTGTATACAACGGGAGCAAAAATAGTGAAGTGGATGTATTGCTCACTCTAGATCACTTTTCGGTAGACAGTGCGCGGAACAGTACCATGCATCCATCTCTTGATGAATAGGTCCAAAAAATGGCAGGCTATCATGTTGTTCCACCTCTTAGGATACCGACATATTCGGGTAAATCGAATTTAAAAGTACGAAGAGACGAGCGAAATGATCACTGCTGGTATGATTCACGATGTCATCCACATAACCTTTGTGCAATGTTGCTTCAGCAATGTTGGTGGTGATGTTATTTTCGATCAATCGCATGAAAATGTCTTCGAAAACCGGTCCCAAATGACTGTCCATTGCGACAACGTCTGCCTGCTTGCACGATGTACCTTCAAACCCGAAGCGGATATCATCCCTGCACACTAGAATAACGTCGCTCAACTGCTTTATGGGAATGCTCACAGATAGCTTCTGACTCAAGAGAAACTTTCTACATGCATCAACTGTTTCGCGCAAAGGTACGTTTGTGAGAAGTGTGTCCACATCTATTGAGTACCCGCGTTCCTTCAGCAGCGAAGTATGCACCAATTCCTCTATAAAATCAAAGGAATCTTTTAGTCAATAACTTCCTAGTCATCGGCGAACGGGTTCTAAGATTTATGCCAACCACCTTGCCACCTTGTGATGAGGTGATGCCTGCATGAATAAAATTGGACGCAGTGGTACACCCAGTTTATGTAACTTCGGTGCTCCTGTCATGTTCCCATTAAGCAGTTGAGCGACATTATTCTAGTGTGCACGGAGGATATCCGCTTCGGGTTTGAAGGTACATCGTGCAAGCAGGCAGACGTTGTCGCAATGGACAGTCATTTGGGACCGGTTTTCGAAGACATTTTCATGCGATTGATCGAAAATAACATCACCACCAACATTGCTGAAGCAACATTGCACAAAGGTTATGTGGATGACATCGTGAATTATACCAGCAGTGATCATTTCGCTCGTCTCTTCGTACTTTTAAATTCGATTTACCCGAATATGTCGGGATCCTAAGAGGTGGAACAACATGATAGCCTGCCATTTTTTGGACCTCATCATCAAGGGCTGGATGGATGGTACTGTACTGCGCACTGTCTACCGAAAATTGATCTAGTGTGAGCAATACCTCCACTTCACTATTTTTGCTCCCGTTGTATACTTTCGCGGCCTTGTGAAAACGCTGTTTTATCTGGCAAGGCGAATTTGTAGTGCGGCGACATTAAAAGCAGCAGCACACTTTTTCGTAACATCCTACTGTCCAATGGGTATTCGGAAAAGTTTATCCAGATCCACAGCAGACTATCAAAGATAAAGACACTGGTACATACTACATAGCAAAAGCCTGTCTATTTGTTCCGGCCATCCAAAGTTGACCATATCGCAAAAGATATTGGAAGCAATCTCAGGTCTACTGTGAAACGCATTACACAACCGCCCAGTTGCAACTCGTGTACACCACCCGGAGATTAGTGCTGCATCACCACCCGGTCGAGTTGGTAGACAGTCTGACCTCTCATGTAATCCAACAGTTCAACTGCAGTTGCGGCGGCACATACATTGGCAGGAATGATCGGCAGCTGGCCCAAAGGGTGGTCGAACACCACCTATGTTGGTTAAGTTAGTCGACGTCACAACAAGGCGGAGTTGATCGGACGATAAAGTGGAAGCCTGCTTCATCTATCACAGATCGTCGCGTGACGACCGGGCATCACATGGACATAGTGACCGCTCTCAAATTAGTCCTAGTGGATAAGCATCCAAAACGGTTGGCAATAGGCGAAGCACTGTTGATCGCGCAGAATCGTCCAACATTGTGTGCACAGAAACAATTGAGGCAATCTATTAGATCAAGTGAGGTTCATCGCAGCCAGTTTCCAAATCAGATAGTAGTCCACATGCCCGGAAAACACTAGACTGCAGTTTCAGCCTGTTGGGCATCTTCAGTAATGCGCATCCATCGGTTCCATCAGGATTCGAACCCATGACCACCAGCGGCTTGAACCGCCAGTCAGGAGCTTATGGCACTGGGCCACGGGGTACAGCTTCGGACCGTCATGATTTACAAGCTTACTGGATGCGATGAACCTCAGTTAATTACATCAGAATCCACTACTCATGAGTACATCAAATCCATTAGATTCCCGTGACGGTGATTCTTTTGTTGCATCCTGTTCATGAACGTTAGTTTCACGTATACTCATTCGTTTAGATTTGTATGTTTTGTGGTTGCGACTGAGAAGAACCATGGAAATGTCACCAGCGCGCAACATTTGTCTTTTTGCTGAAATAATGCTCTAACTAAGAATTGTTACAAAGATATAAATGTCCAGTAACTATACTCCTATCACATACATCATGGTAAAAATTAGTTATTGGGGAGAGTGTAGCTCTTTTGACTGGAAGGTTTAGCTGAGTCCATTTACGTCCACGTCCAAGACGGTTTGAGCTAAGGTCAATGCGGCATTGTCGTTGATGCAGCTAAATATAACGATATGAGTATTCATGACATGTACCATAAATAGTGCAGGTCATGACGTTCCTTTTCGGTGGCTCAGTGAGTAATTTTTATTTCTGAATTCATTCTGTTTCGGGTAGATTATTGTCCGGTACCGGAGACTAAGTAGATGATTTCAAAAAGTTGCAGATCCTTAAGTTTGTGTTCACAAGGGCACCGTTCCTTGTGGCATTTCGAGTCTTCACTTTTGTTCGTCTGACTAACGACTTGTCATGTTCCGTCCATGTTGACGTTAACTTGGTCGTGACCGCTCCTGTGTGCAGCGATTTCGGTACGTATTCGCCTTTTACTCTCAGATCTTTTCTCTTCCGTGAAAGTTGGTGCGGAATGCTGCTGGAACCGCCTTTCTCGCTGCGCCGGTCTGTTCTAGTTAGGTAGTTCGTAACGTTGGGGTGAACACGCGTCTGACCATGAGCACTTTTGCGATCTGAACCTTCAATCAATTTTGGGTCACGGCTCAGTCGCAGAAGCCTGTAGCACTCAGCTTTAA